GGATTACCTTATCGCTTTTCCGTGATTCATGATTTCTCTTGACCGCCTCTTTTCGAGAGACGGACAACGGGAGTAGCAAGAAGAAGCGACGAGTATAGTTTGGTTCGATTTCCATACCGATAAAAATGTAGGATCCTCGCATCTGTTTTCGAATCTTTAACGTCCAAGTTGTTTGGAAGCAGGTTCGAGTGACGAATGTGAAACTTGGAACTCTTCCATCGAAAAGTTTCGAGGAATAAAGTGCTATCGGAATTTATAGAGTACAGCATCCCCGTGTATTTTTCTTTAGGTATTTACGCAAAACAATTCAAGCTTAAGTAGGTAAAAAAAAAAGAAAAGAACGAATTAACATGGACAGAAATAAAATATTTCTCCCCTTTCACCTTCGCGATATTTATATTAAAGCGTCGAATGTAGCGACGGAGATAACGAGATAATTACCATTTTCGTTGTTCCATCCATATCCCTGAATAAAATTCATCAAAGCATGGACATCGCGAGCCACGAGTGCGGTTCGCATTCGAAAAGATCCCGGCTGAATGGATTTCCACGGATTTTCAACCGAGGTCTTCGAGGCCGGTTTTTAGAGAAAAGAGACACGGCTCTTTTATACTCGTATACACAGCTCTCGGGAAGAGAGACGCGCTTTCGCAATTCCATCCTTTCGCAAATTTCAACGAGCGCGTCTCCCCCCCGAGAAACTTATAGAAACTCGTAGATTAGAAGCTTACAGAAGCTTAGATCATTATTTCCAAGTTGATACAATTTCTTTCGTTTTCGGACGAATTTCCTTTCGCATAGGAGTGAAAACGCGCAAAATTGTGCGTACGTTTTAAGAAAATCATAGAAAAGAGAGAAGGAAAGAGAGAAAATTGGTCGAGAAGAGATTAAAATTGCGTTAAACGTTTCGAGCTGAAAGATCTTTTTCATCCATCCGCAGCTGGCAAGGGTCGAGGTCAATCGATTTATGACACCGCGTGGCTCGCAAACTTTTTATGCTCGGTGTTTCGTATTGGCTGGAACCGTGTCCGTAACAAGTTTATGCGTCCTTATCCTCGCGATATCCTCCTTTTTTACAACTGTTTCAACCGGTTTATGCGAGGGAACATCGAGTATCGATCCCAGACCGCGCATATAACACACGTACTTCAGCTCTGGGAAAAACTTTACAACGATCTCTTACTTTAACGTATTCCCTTTTACGATCTCTCGTTCCCCCGCTTTATCAGAGATGTTTATCGAACATATTCAAAAACATCGTATCTCTTAATTATTCAGACATTCGCGCGATCGAACCTTCGATATCGAAATCGACGAGAAAACCATAATTTCTACGATATTACACGTAGGAAGGCGAGCGAAGCGAAAACTCTCGGTCGAAAAGTGATCCAAAGCGCCTCTTCCATCGGACGAAATGTAGCGTGATTTGCGGCAAGTTAAACAACAACTCGCACAATCGCCGAGAAAACGGGAATTTTGTTTGAATTCCACTTAAAACTGTCGGTTACACCGCTTCATTTTCCGCTACTTACTCGACGAGCGGGTGAGCCGAGAGTTGCGAGCCGAGCTCGGGGGCGACCATTGTTCGATCCGGATTGAACCGATGATCGCAACTTTGCGTGGTCACCTGCAACTTTGAACTTTAGAACTCCTCTTTCGAACAAAGGACGAGCCTCTTTCCTTCTCTTTTCTTCCTCGTTTCCTCCTCGCTTCCCAAATTCGTCTCTCGTCTGCTCGAGTTGCGGAACTCGACCACCTCCGTTGTCCAATTCCTCCTTGATAATTTTTTAATCGCGAGGAAAAGCCCATTCACGGTTATGATTTTCTTTCTCCACGACCGTTTCGAATTTATTTCGGACGGGAAGAAGAAACGGAAGAAGAGTCGCAATCCGCGAAATGCAGCGGAATTAAATCTCAATTTACGCCAGCGCGAAAATATTGACGCTGCTAAGAAAAGGAACCCTTCGCGTAAATATTAATTCGCCGCGAATAAATCACGGTGACTGCTCCTATTCTCCTCTCCCCGCCTCCTCCCCCTCCTCCTCCTCCTCCTCCTCCTGCTCGTTGATTACACGCTCGC